TAGTAGTAGTAGTAGTAGTAGTAGTAGTAGTAGTAGTACTATTAGTCGTAGTAGTAGTGATACTGGTGATAATAATAGTAGTGTGGTCGTGGTAGTGGTCAGTAGTAGTAGTAGTAGTAGTAGTAGTAGTAGTAGTAGTAGTAGTAGTAGTAGTAGTAGTAGTAGTAGTAGGTAGTAGTAGTAGTAGTAGTAGTAGTAGTAGTAGTAGTAGTAGTAGTAGTAGTAGTAGTAGTAGTAGTAGTAGTAGTAGTAGTAGTAGTAGTAGTAGTGGTAGTAGGAGTGGTGGTGGTGGTGGGCTAATAATAATAATAATAATAATCGCGACCCCCCCCCCCCCCTTCAAAAAAAAAAATAATAATAATCAGCCCCCCCCCCCCCCCCCGGGGAAGCCCGCAGTAGAAGAGAGTTTACCCCCCCCCCCCCCCGCCCCGCTTTAAAAAATTCTTCGCGTGTGCCCTCAGAAGACAGGTTTGTTCACAGGCAGCCTATTGCAGGGCTTGGGGTTAATCCCCAAACCCTAAGCCCCAAACCCTAAACCCCAAACCCTAAACCCCAAACCTTAAACCCCAAACCCTAAACCCTAAACCCCAAACCCTAAACTCTAAACCCTAAACCCCATACACCTTAAACCCCAAGCCTTGTTCAGGAGAGCTCCATGCTGTCATCGTCAGAGGACAAGGCAAAGATACATCAGGCCTCCGCCATTCTCCACGATGTTGGCTGAGGGTTTGGGGTTTAGGGTTTAGGGTTTAGTGTTTAGGGTTTAGGGTTTAGGGTGTAGGCCTGATGGTTTGGGGTTTAGGGCTACTGAACCCTAAACCCTAAATCCTTCAGGGTTGAGGGTTTCGGGTTAAGGGCTACTGAACCCTAAGCCCTAAGCCCTTCCGGGGTTGAGGGTTCGTCGCCCTAAACCCTAAACCCTAAACCCAAAACCCAAAACCCAAAACCTCCCCTACACGAAGGGTTTGGGGCTTAGGGCGCAGGGTGTAGGATCCATCAGGCCGCTGCCATTCTCTACGATGCCGTCGAGGGATTGGACCAAGCGGCTGCTCGGCTAGCAGGATCTAGGAACGGGTCTGGGGGATGAGAGCCCTAAATCCTAAACCCTAGGAAGTTTAGGGTTTGGGGGTTTGGGTTGTTTCAGGTTTAACTATTGGCTCAGAATCATGGGCCCTGAGTAGGGATGGCTTCAGGCTCCAATTTAGGTTCTGAAATCTGCTGCAGCTGGCAACCTCGACCACCACTCCTATACCCTGAAACCGAAACCCTGAACCATTGATCCTCCTGGTTCTTAGTAGGGAATGAGGGAATGCGGCGCCTATATATACGTATATATATATATATATATATATTGCTTATTTTTTTTTTCGATTTGTTTGTTTGTTGATTTATTGATTTATTTGTTTATATATACACACCCTTTAAGGGATTGTAAAGGGCCCTAGTGAGCCCTCATTCCCTACTAAGCACCAGCCAGTGATACCTTCGAACTTACAGGACTGCGTGCTTTGCCTGTCTTCTGCCCATCGTCTGGACCAACCAGCAGACCCAAATAGGGTGCTCTGGGGCTCTGGGGGTGTGTACCCTGAACCAGGGTTAAGGGTTTTAGGGTTTGGGGTGTAGGGTTTACGGTTCAGCGTTTAGGGTTCCCTGTAAACCTATGCGTATGCGCCACTCCCTGCGCCACTCCCAGGTACCTGGGAAGAGTTCTGCAGCCCTTCGCGCCCTAAACTGCCGAAAGTATCTGATACCACTGCTCCAGCATCCTGGCTTGCTTGGGGCTTGCTAGGGCTTAGGGTCCAGGGTTTAGGTAGTTCCGAGCTTTGGGGCTCAGAGTTTGGGATTTAGAATCTAGTAGGAAATCTTATTACCTGATTTTGAAAACGTCCTAAGAACCGTATAAGAATGGCGTTATATCAACGAAGCCAAAGAAGTAGGTCCAGAGCTCTGTGGGGGGCGAGGGCTGTGGGCCATGGGATGTAGGGCTTGGAACCTAAGCCCTAAACCCTAAACCCTAAACCCTGAACCCTGAACCCTGAACCCCAAACCCCAAACCCCAAACCCCAAACCCCAAACCCCAAACCCCAAACCCCAAACCCCAAACCAAAAAAACCCAAACCAAAAACACCCAAACCAAAAACACCCAAACCCCAAACCCCAAACCCCAAACCCCAAACCAAAAAAACCCAAACCAAAAACACCCAAACCCCGAACCCCAAACCCCAAACCCTAATTAAGCCCTAATCCAGCTACAGGGTCAGGGCTCTAAGGGTGCTCAGGGCTCCGGGCATGCTAGCTTGGTCACAAGCGCAAACACAAACGCAAAAGCATACATCCAGCTTTTCAAGGGGTTTAGGGTTTAGGATTTAGGGTTTAGGGTTTAGGGTTTAGGGTTTAGGGTTTAGGGTTTAGGGGTGCAGTAATAAGGTTCGTTGTTTGTTTTTTTTGTTTTTTTCTGTATTGGCTGGCTTACATGTCTTCTGATTTTGTTCGGTCTTCCAAGAGTCTCGGCAAACCTCTGTGCGTTTGTTTGGCGTTTCTTGCTGCGTTGGTCTTAAGCTTATTCGACAAACAGTACAATCAAACCGGGGATACCGGATGCCGTGCACGCGCTCGTGTCCCAATTTCCAATTGCTCTAACTCTACCCTATACTTCCAGGGACCGAGTAGTTAAGTCCTTGTTGGCTCTAGTAACCAAACTATTTTGTCCCTGGAAGTATAGGGCTACTTATAACTAGGGGGTTTAGGGTTTAGGGTTTGGGGTTTAGGGTTTAGGGTTTAGGGTTTAGGGTTTAGGGTTTAGGGTTTAGGGGGGGCCCACTCCTTGTGGACGCCGATGCAGAGGTTCTGGGCATTGCTCGGTATGTTCATCGAGTTCTTCGTGGAGCCCTACTGGTGTGCCAGAGTCGAGCACAAGTGTCAGGGAGATGTGGCTCGGGCTCAAGACAGCGTCCTCCGCTCAGTTTAGGGTTTAGGGTTTAGGATTTAGGGTTTAGGATTTAGGGTTTAGGGTCTTGAAGTCGTCCTTTTATAGGGGTCTCAATAATTACTAATAGCATTCCCTTATGATTCCTCTGTGCTTCTACACCTTTTCTAATCATTATGGCCCCTATATTGCACACTCCTACACCCCAAGCAAAAAAACTCTGCGGTTTTGGTGTGTAGGGTTTAGGGCTTTGGGCTTTGGGCTTTGGGCTTTAGGCTTTAGGCTTTAGGGCTTTAGGCCTTAGGGCTTTAGGGCTTTAGGGCTTTAGGGCTTTAGGCTTTAGGGCTTTAGGGCTTTAGGGCTCTAGGGCTTTAGGGCTTTAGGGCTTTAGGGCTTTAGGGCTTAGGCTTTAGGCTTTAGGGTTTGGGGTTTAGGGTTTTGGGTTTAGGGTTTAGGGTTCAGGGTTTAGGGCTCCTAAGTGTGGGTGGGAGGTAAGGCAAGATGGGATCGAACTGGTTTGGCATGTCAAATCGATTTCTCCGAGTCTCCGATGCTTCGGGCTTCAGGGGTTTAGGGTTTGGGGTTTGGGGTTTAGGGTTTAGGGTTCAGGGTTTAGGGTTCAGGGTTCAGGGTTTAGGGTTTAGGGCTTCCTACCCAAGCTGGGGTGCTAAAGCCTCTACGCCACTCCGACCAGATTGGCGAAGGTGTTTGCTCAGCTTTAAGGGCTGGACGCCATAAGGGACGAGCGACTGCGGAAGCTTGTCAACACATGCTTCCCTCATCCGAAAAGGAGGAGGTTTGAAGCCGGATCAAGAGCTCCTCATGTATGTGGCGATGGGGTGGGCATCAGACTATACAGATGGGCGAGCCCAGACCTTCTTAGAAGGTGTCATGGCGTCGGTTCCTTCATTGGCGCACCCCGAGGGCTGGGCGACACTGGAGCTCATGGCAGCCGCCGAGTTGTACACCCTTGGAGGCCATTCCGCACGGGCCCTTCTTGGGAAAGTTTGATATAGGCCTTGAAGCCTGAGGAGATCTCTCGCTCTGTCTCTCTCTGCATGTGTAGTGGGGTTTGAAACCCTAAACCCCAAACCCAAAACCCTAAACCCTAGAGTTCTTCTTGAGTGATGAGAGTTTCTGGGTTGAGGGCTCAGGGCTTTGGTGCGCGAGCCAAGGTGGTGGAGGAGTACTTCATGTCGCAAGTCCCGAAGTTTCCGCGAAGGCAGTTCGCTTCTTTCCTAAACCCTAAACCCTACACCCTAAACCCTAAACCCTAAACCCTAAACCCTAAACCCTACACCTTACCCTAAGCCCTAAAGGGAGAGGAGGGAGGGGGGGGCCGGGGGGTGGGCATTTGTGGTTTTAGGGCTTTGGTGTCAGGGCTAAGAGCTAAAGCAGTACCTGGAGCTCTCTATACTCTTTTAGGAATTTAGGAATTTAGGATTTAGGGTTTAGGGTTTAGGGTGAAGGAGAGACTTAAAAGAAGGGGAAGTATCCTCAGTTCTTGGCAAACAGATGCGCCCTTGTTGGCAGGCAGAGGGTCGCTCGAAGTGCGCGCCCAAAGCTCAACCCGAATCCCTAAACCCCAAACCCCAGACCCCAACACCGAAACCTTTAAACCCCTAAACCCCTCAAGCCCCTGAACCCCTCAAACCCTTTAGCCCTTAGACGGGTTTAGGGTTTAGGGTTTAGAGTTTAGGGCTTAGGGATTGACCTTAAAACCTACACCCTTACACCCCACCCTTAAGCCCCAAACCCGTGAACCCTGAAACCATTCGCACACCTTGGGGCGTTCCCCCTTATACTAACAGTCCTTAATCGGGATAAAAGTATCCCCTAGTATAACCCCTACTAAGGACTGCTAGCAGAAGGGAGAACATCCCAACACGTAACCCTAAAACCCCTCCAACTGCCCAATCCAAAACCCTAAACCCTTATAAGCCCAAAACCCTTGTAAGCCCTGAACCCTAAACCCTTGTAAACCCTTGTAAACCCTTGTAAACCCTAGGAAGGCTTGAGGGGAACACCCCAACGCACTCCACGAGATCTCACCCTCGAGGTCCCGCGCCCTGCGATGCACCAACCTCATCTATTTCGCCTCTTGGTCTTCTCAAACCCTAAACCCTAAACCCTAAGCCCTAAACCCTATGCCCTAAGCCCTAAACCCTAAACCCTAAACCTTAAACCTTGATAGGGGCCCCTCCGTTCAGGCAGCGGTGGCGTGCACTCGTTGGCCTTTCGGTTTGTTTTTGTTTTTTTGGTTGAGGGCTTAGAGTGGGGTTTGGATCAAAAAGCCAAGGCTGGGTGTTCAGAGTTTAAGGTTCAGGGCTAGGGGCTTCGCGTCTAAAGCCCCCAAACCCGAAACCCTAAGCCCTAAACCCGAAACCCTAAACCCTAAACCCTAAACCCTAACTCAGGTCTCTCTTCTCGGCAACCCCCGCACAAAGCTGCTGGGCACCCTGACTCTTGCAACACCCAACCATGCACCAACCATAGAAATCTACGAATTGCTTAAGAACCTGGGTTTGAGGTTTAGGGTTTAGGGTTTAGGGTTTAGGGTTGAGGGTTCAAGGTTTAGGGTTTACTGTTGCTTAAGAACTACTATTCTTCCTTATAAGAGCAACGTAGGGATGATTATTTTCATTTTTTTTTGGGGGGGGGGGGGGGCTTCTTCAGCCAACAGAGTATTTCTTGCCTATGTCTGGACAGGTCCCCCCCCCCGCCTGCTTCCCCCCCCCCCCTAAACCCTAAACCCTAAACTCTAAACCCTAAACCCTAAACCCTAAACCCTACTCCTGGTACTTTACCTGCCAATGGATCTCCAGTCTCACATGGCTAAGGCTCCGTTTCTTCTGGACACCTTCCTCCGGGCTTTCGCCTACGGGACCAACTTCTTCAAGGACCCCTGGCGGTTCACTCTTGAGGTGGAGGGTTCAAGGATGAGTTTGGGCTCTCTTCTTCCACTGTGCCATTCGCGGTGTGTGTGTGTATACATATATATGTGTGTATAGATTTTCATGCTAGCTTATATGTGTATATGCATGCTATTCATTGGTTTTTGTACCTAGTTATTCAGATGCAAATCGGTATTTGTATGTTTTATCATGCGTAGATTATGTACATGTATTTGTATATATATATGTATGTATAGACACACGTACATATATACATATATGTATGTATGTTTGCAAGTGCGTTTCTGATTTACATGTATTCATACTTCCTTCATTTTTGTAAACTTGCATGTCGGTATGAACACATAATATATACATATATAGTCTTTTGCTCTGTTGTTAGTCCTACTACTCTTCTCTTTAATCCTCACCTTCGGTGTGGGGTTGTTAGATTTTAAACTCAACTCTTCTCCTCGCCCGGAGACTCCCTGGAGTGCCCAACCCCAGAGTCTCCCTGGAGTGCCCAACCCAGAGTGCCCAACCCCAGAGACTTCCTGGAGTGCCCAACCCAGAGTGCCCAGCCCCAGGGTCTCCCTGGAGTGCCCAACCTCAGAGTCTCCCTGGAGTGCCCAACCCAAAGACTCCTGGAGTGCCCAACCCCAGAGACTCCCTCAGGTGGGGATGTTCGAAGTAAAATAATGTTGTTGTTTTTTGTGGGGGGGGCGGGGGGGGAAGGTGGGTAGCCTGTTCAAGAACTTGTGAAAAAAAGACGCCGTGCTTTCTGTGGCTGTTACCCTAAAGCCTAGACCCAAACCCTAAACCCTCAACCTCAAACGCCAAACCGAACCCTAAACCCCGAGCCTTAAACCCCAAGCCCTAAACCCCAAACCCTAAACCCCAAACCCTCAACCCGAAACGGCTGGCACTTCGGGCAAGGACAGGATGGCGGTGGCTCAGCCTGCAGTCACAGCCCATTGCGCGTCACGGGGGCTTCGTTGAGGATTTAGGGTTTAGGGTTTAGGGTTTAGGGTTCGTTTGCCTGCCCCTCGCGTGTGGATGGGTCAACCCTGTGCCTGAAACCCTATAGAACCCACAGCCCTAAAACTCAAGCCCCGGAACCCTTAACCCCCAACAAACCCATAGAACCCAAAACCCTAAACCCCTAAACCCGAAACCCTAAACGCTAGAAAACCCTTAAGGCCGAAATGCAGGTTCCTGTTCGCAAGGACTAAGAGAGGCCCGCAAGGGGCCACAGGTTCTCGGAGCCGTTGGTGCCTTCTAGGGTTTAGGGTTTAGGGTTTAGGGTCTAGGGTTTAGGGTTTAGTTAGGGTTTCATAAGGTTTAGGGTGCGAAGGCAAGATACACCTCTGGGTTTGTTTCGTTTTGTTTCTACTGTTTGTTTCTTTCTGTTCATTGCTAGAAAATGCTTGGTATGAGTTTTCTTGGTTTGGTGCCAGCATCGTCTCCGTCATTCTCACTCTTGCTACCCGTACCGACGTTGGCTGGGAAAGTGGAGACTGTGTGGCTACGTATAGGGAAGATCAGGGGCATGCAGAGAGTACACTAGGACCCGGAGTAGGCCCTGATTTCCTTTTTTAGGGTTTAGGTTCCCTTATAAAGCCCTTGAGGGTTTAGGGTTTAGGGCTTAGGGTTGAATCTTGGGTCTAGTACAGGTGCAGA